GTCAAGAGGCACAAAAGATAGCTGCTTATTCATAAAATGATACTGAAGAATGCAAAAAGATGAAAAACAAACCTTAACATGGCCTGGATAGACTATTAAAAGGCATTTGATTCATTGCCACACAGCTGGATCAACACCTGCCTAAAAATGTTTGGGATCAGTAAAAATACTCAGGAGTTCCTCAAGAAAAACATGGAAAAATGAATAACTGTCTTAAGGGCCCATGGTGAAGACATTGGGGAAGTTAACATCAAAAGAGGAATATTTCAAAGGGTTTCTTTGTCACCACTGCTATTTAACATCTCACTAATCTCCATATCAAAAAATTTAAATAATATTGGATTGGGATACCATATTTCAGAATAAGCAGGGAAAAAAATCAATCAGTGCACATATTTAGTGAAGATATCCAAATGAAATTAGGATTTGACAGATGTGCAGCTCTGTCTATACAATGTGGCGAGATCTAAAAACTAGATAGAATAGAGTTAAAAATGGCAATATAAAATCACTCTCAAGTAATGAAAATTATAAATACAGTGGTGCCCCGCAAGATGGGCGCTCCGTTTGACGATGAAATCGCATCACGACGAACTATGGGGGTATTTTGCTTTGGGATGATCGGTTCCCTGCTTCAGCTAGAACTCTTGTTCCATAACCTTGAGCAAGGGAGGATTTATGGCGCACCTCAGGGGCCTGTCCTGTTCAACCTGCTTATAAGTGATTTAGATGAGGGCACAGACAAGATGCTTACTAGGTTTTCAGGTAATAGAAAGCTGAGAGCAACCTTCCTGATATATTGGACTACAACTCCAAGCACATCCATTACATGTGACTCTTGGTCATGGTGGTTTGAGACAGTGGGAATTGTACTACACCAGATCTGTTGGGTATTGTGGAAGAAATATCTAGCTAACATTGCAGAGAGGGATTAAGATACACTAGGACACAGACTGGTACAGTGGTGCTTCGCTTAACGAGTGCAAGTATAATGATGAAATCACATAGCAATCTCTTTTTTGAGATAGCTAATGCGATCGCTTACCGATGGCCTCTATGGCCAAAACTCGCATTGCGAAGATCGGTAAGCGTTTCGCTTACCGATCTTCGCATTGCGACTCTGGGAAATCAGCTGTTCGGCGGCTCCCAAATGGCCGCCGGATGACCCAAAATGGCCACCGCAACCATTTTCGCGCCCTGCCCT